ATTACTAGGCCATCTACTATTCTATTTGGCCCTTTTATTTTTAGCAAGTTAAAGTTTGGTTAAGTACTAGTCTTCTAGCAAGTTGCCTAGTAGTAAACTTAGAAACTAGATCATGTGTATTAGTACTATTAGACTTGTAGGCTAGTCTTGTTAGTCTAGACCAGGGACTATAAAATCTACAATTGATAACTTTTGGCCTTTTAGTATAAGCCTAATTATTAATGAATTACATGGTATAAAAATTAATAAATTGGTCAGAGTCAGTACGGTTACAGTTAGCTGTTAATAGAATTAAGTTTTAGATCTATTGACACCAATTTTTAGTTACAAGTAATGAAAATGAAACTAATAGTTTTGTAATAGTTAAGATATGGTTAATTGTAAACCAGATATTTTAGTTTTTAAGACAAGCTAAGTAGATAGAAAACCGAACCTTTACAATAAATTAAACCTTATATATATATATATATATATATATATATATATATATATATATATATATATATATATATTAATATCACATATTAGTTAAATAATTATTTTAATATAATATATGGATAAACTTAATACTTTATTATATTTAAATTCTCTAGGTACTTTGCAAGCAATTTTCTCACACTTTACTGTGGCTATTGGTGCTGATCTTGAACTAAAGGTGAGCTGAATTTTTTTTTATAATAAGCCATTTTTCAGCTTAAGCCCAAGTTTGAAACCGATTCAGTTTTCTAATTCTTAAAGAATATGTTGCTACTAAGATTATTTACTGTAAGTATTAATATGTATGGCTTGATAGTGGCACTGTCAGACAGTAGCTTTCACATTTCTATCCTAAAAGATAAGAGTTCAGATCCCTGGTTTTAGTCCTGGTATGATGTCCTAAGTCTCATGAGTACCAGCTCTCATGAGTACCTGGCTCAAGATAGGGAAATTAAAGGTGGCTGGGTATATACCTCTGAACACTCTAATTTTACATGCTGTCTGTTTTAATCAATGATTAATTTTTTCATATTACAGAAAGTTGTTAAAAATATTATTTATTTAATTTCTAGGTAAATGGAACAGCATGGATGTGGATTTTTAGACACAAGGAAGCTGAATTTAACTTTTAATGAAGAATTTAAATGATGATTGTCCATGAAAAGAAATATTAATTATATACATTGTAATGCTGTATTGATGCATCTTCTGTTTTAAGTAATTAAAAAACCATCCATTTATGAAATTCTTTTCATTTTTTTTTTCAATTTTAAAACTGTAGTTCTGTTTTGTTATTTGAAAACAATGATGAAAGTATACTGAACTGCCATTGAGATATTAATATAAATGCTATTGTTAAACTATATGTTTATAGTTTAATTCTTTCAGAAGCAACTATATTGACATCAAAACTGAATCTTTATTGTACACTAAGTATAAAAGCTTACCCGCAAACCAGTCCATGTCAACAATTTATTGACATTCAAACATTAAATTTTTTTAAAGGTGATTTTTCTTAAATAAAACAGACTACTTTCATATGGGATAAGAAACATTTAATTTTGAAATTGATTGGTTTATTAAATTTTAATGGAGCTGAAACTAAAACACTGGGTACAAATTTATTATTACTTTGTTTCTCAGAAAATTGCAAATTTTGAACATAACTGTGGGAAGTAGGCAATGATGTTAAAATATCTATTGAAACTTGAAGAAATTGTGGAAGGTTTAGAGATAGAAAACAACATTTCAGAAGATGATGTTTGAAATAATGGTAAAATATCTTTAGCACTTGTCACTGAATAAATATTTTCATTAGACAAATCACATTTAGATATAGAAGAATAAGGTATGTCTTCAGATTTTCTTATCAGCGAAGATCCTGGGTGATTCTCTTTGTTACCATCGGTCAAACGACAAGCCAATTCTGGAAAATTCATTGGGTTCTTTGTCTGGGCAGCTAAATATATTTAAATTAAGTTCATGCAAGGCTTTAGAAACATCAATTGGATAAAACTCTATAATTTCATTAACTTTTTATTAATATCAGCTCCAAAGGAATAATATAAACAAGTTACACATCATCAATAAATCAAATTTGCAGATATTTCCATTTCACCAAACTTTCTCTAAGTCATAATATATATTTTAAATTCATGGCATTTTGTTAGGCTAGATATGTTGACTTTTATTTACCACAATATTCTGATTATATAAATTAGGATTACCCAGCTATCATACATTCTTCTTTTTACTGCCCTCCTTTATGAGGGGGAGGTAAAAATCATCATAAAATGTGTGATGCAATTTACAGATGAACCCTCTCTCTCTCTACCCCTCCCCCTATATATATATATGTAACTAGGGTAGGCCTAGCTACTAGTTACAAAACTGATAACGAACGATAAGCCGAGACGCAGTATTACAGTCTGATGCAACTGATAGCAGGTGGCTTATTGGATCGGACTGATAACAATCTCAAAGCCAACGCGTGCTATTTTGGGAAACGGTACGAGGGGATTCAGACGGCCTGTCAACTTTGATTGATAGGATGCAGATGTTTATTAAACGGACTGTACGTTAGAACTGCGCAACTAGTAGTCGGAGACATCGAGTACAAGTATCGAATACGGAGGAATACAAGTACGAAGACGAGTACGAATACAAGGGATAAATAGGAGGGGACGACTGAACTCGCCCTCTTCCCTTTTCGATCGCTCGCTCTCTTCATCGCTGGCTTTAGATCAGTCAGTCTGTGTGACATATCAAGTTGGTTATATTGTGTTAAGAAGGACAATAGACATGTGGATTCAGTTATATGAAGCCTAGTGAGGGCTGTTAGGGGTCAGTTGATTCAGACTATTATTGTGAAGCATTCCTGTTGATTCATTGTGTTATATTGAAGCATTTCTTGATTCATGTAATAAAAGGATCAATAGCGAACCTGCATCTTCGAGTCTTTCTACTGTAGTCGATGTTGTGTAGCATGAGTGGTTAAACTCGTTACATTTGGCACTACAGGCAAATAGTCTCGTAACATGTGGCGTTGCGAGCAGGGTAACTGTTCGCTCGTTACAATTGGCGTCGTCGGACAGGATAGACTCGGGGACTCGTTACATATATATATATGTATATCTACATAATCTCTAAAATCATGTAGGTACCTCTACCTGTTTGAATGTTAGGCCCCTTTCCTTCAACTGTTTCTGTGTGGATCTTCTCCATGGGGGTCATCTATAAATGACGTCACGCATTTTTTTTGACGATTTTTACCTCCCCCCCTCCCCCTACACATCATCACAAAAAGCCAGACCCCCACCCCCTAAAATGACGTCACACAGTACTAGATTCTAGATCTAAATTACGACAGTTGCCTACACTCTAGATTTAGTTCTTAAGTTCTACAACAAGACTACACTAAACTTCGCTAGATCTAGAATAATCTAGATTCTATATATAAATTGATATTGAACATATTCTAGTCTACCTGTCTTAAAGTAAATAGCCTATTTAGTAATTTAGTAATTAATTCCACTCAACTACACTGTAAAATAAAAGAAACTAGATCTAGAATCTAGATCTCTAGACTACTCTTGAGTCTATAAATTAAAAATAAATCCTGTATGTCGTATGTTACTGTCCAAGTCGGAATTTTCAAGAGGGTTTTTTTTTTAAGTCATAGATCTAGAATTCTAGATCTAGAAATCTAGACTCTAGATCTAGGCTATATATATTTATTAATTAAATTAGGCTTGATTTCAGATTTACGATTGAAATCTTTTAGGCCTATAAATATCATATTTTATATAGATTATAGATGTATTATTATTATACAGGTTGTATTCTAGATCTATATAAAATATAATATATTTGTGTGTGTGTGTTATTTTAAACTTAATTTACTTAAAACAACTTATTGTCGGAGTTTTTTTTATTCCAAAAACGAAAGTAGATTTCATAACTTAAAAAAAAAAAAAAATAAAAAATATTCACATTTGGTTTGAAAAAACAAAAAAACGCCAGCTGGCAACTACCGGAGCGAGAACTTGGTAAGCTACTTTAACAACTTACAAGCCCAATAACCTGAGTACTATTTCAGATAGATAAATGAAATTTCACATGTCAGTAAAATCGGTAATAGCGTAAATTACTACTTACGGTCAACGGAAATTACTCAAAATTTGATAGAAGGCAGAAAATTAGATCTTTTACTGACATGTGAAATTTCATTTATCTATCTAAAAAAAACGCATGTGAATTTATAAAGTACTAATAATATCCGGCAGTATTATGCACATTTTATTTGGCGTTCACTTAGAGTAAGTAAAGTTTCCCTTTCAAACCTGACGGTCTATGGGGAAAGTGAAGTAGAGTTCACTTGTTTCTGTGACCTCGGTCTATCTTGGTTCACTTGGTGTGCAATTATTTTTTTTACGAGATTCTATTCTATTATAAAAAGTTTAAGTAACTAATAATGGATTTAAAATATTGTCTATGTTCCGAGTTGCCATCCTTCGTAGTAGAATATTCGAGAGAGCTTAGGGGAGATAACTCCCGTTTTTTATAAATATAGGTTCTATGTTATGCACTGTGATCCGTTGTTTTACGGAGTAGATGTTTTAGGGGGCACCGAACCAAAAGTACATAGAGTCCCCAACGGTGCTAATCAGAAGCCAGTGTCATGTTGAACTATATACTTGTTTAGTGAGTCGGCAAGTATGTGGACACACTTCATGTCTTCAATATATTTAGTTAGAACATGTTCTTTTCTACATGTTTATGGTATGCTGCACTCGTAGTTAAATGTGACATGTTTAGCCTGGAACATGTTCCAGCTTCACAAGCATGCTATACTGCACTTTCTTGCTGCTTCTGCTACTAGATGCTTTGGCTACTTAAAGAAACGAATTGTCTGACACTTCTAACAAAATAAACAGAGAATAACAGCAGATACCCAGAGTAAGTTAAAATAAAATTTATTTTAAAATACAATATCGGAAAGAAAATAAATATCATGGAAGAAAATACATGTTGCATAAAACGCAAATAATTTCTTCAAGCGTTGTTGGTAAGTTTTAAAGTTTATACCAATAAAGAAAATTAGGTATTTAAAAGCTAATATAAAGCGATTTATAATATTCATACAAGTTAGTAAAAGATTTAAACAAATGAAAGTAATACAAACAAAGTCTTGTTTAAAAGCCACGTTTTCTTTGATTTAAGATTTTCCTTGCTATAAAAGATGTATAATATCAAAGATTATTTCCACACACCGATCGAAGATAGCTTTGCATTTATCCCATACGCCACTTACGACCTGTGAGAATAAATAATTGGTATTATGATCAGATTTTAGAAGATCATGTAAATATTTAATTAAAGCTACTTTAGCATTGGCTATCAACAAGAGGAACTCGAGATTGGTTGTTCACATAATATTACGTAAACCAAAATCCTAAATAAACACATTTACTTCAAGTCGCTGACAATGTGAAACGTTCACTGAAAAAAAATTAATATGTTTATAAGCTCGAATTGGAAGATCTGTCAATTGATAATATAAATCATATCTAAACCTATTAAAAATGTATCATTACAGCTATAGCCGAAATATAATAATGCAGTAGAACGAATTTATTTTTTAATCGACAACTATCTTGTTTCCATTTGACGCATTTTGTTTTTGCATTTAAGAGAGGAATTTCCTGCATGTTGAAAGATAAAATAGACAGTGTAACTAAGAAAATGCACATAATTGGGCACAAATGAGCACATTGCTTGCCAGTGACGAAATTAATTTGTTTACATTAGTTACGAAAAAACCTAAATGAATAATCATTATTTATTAATTTTCAAAGTTAGTTGAACTCCTTTTAGAATACAATTAAAAGGAATTTTAACTTGAACCAAATGTTTTATTCCTTTATTTTTGTTTTTAGAACGTGGAAAATAAAAGTTTAATTTTTGACACAGTAACGTCCATTTAATATGTATAAACAGAGGTCAAGTTGGTTAGTTTACAACCCCTTAATTTTACATTTCATAGAATCTGATATTTTTCCATTTGACTACGACACCTGAGCTGTCTACTTACCAAATATCAGCTTTGTGTCGCATCTGCAAAACGTTAATCTAATTTAAGTACTAAAATATATAGTTTATATAGGATCGAGTTAAGTCTAGGTCAGTTTTAGATCACGTTAAATCTCGATTATTGAGTTAGCTATAGTTTTTTTTCTCCGTTAGATTGAGGTTGAATATCTCAGAGATAACAATAGTACTGACAAAAAACCTTAAATAAAATATTAAAGAATAAGGTTGATCAGGAACATACGTCTCTTCTGTAAGTATGAAATAATTGATGACTAAAGTCCCAATGCATATTTTTACGTCGCATTGATTTATTTAGCTCTTCAGAAATCCCGTATTTATGATATTTTGCCGTGTAACTTTATTGAAACGTAACCTACAGGGTAAGCAACTAAAATTACCTCTTTCTGTTCAGTTGGTGGTGGACAGTTTTCACATTCTCGGCAGACGTCACAGATGGTTGAGTCTTTCAGAAGTTGTGATTGGTAGAACACTGTCACCTGTTTGCCTGAAGTATATAAAACAATTTTATTTACACAAAGTTATTGAATACTATTTCAATTAGCTTATTAAAATAGAGATTAATTTTATTTTGAATTTTCATTTCGTTTAGTGAATAAACTTTAAAAATATAATTTTAACTCTAATTAGAATTTTACAGACACTTTGATAACACGTAATTTTTGTAACAACTTAACTTTATGTATCTTAAATATATTAATAGATGGTTGTAGATAATGATACTTAACGTGTTGTGAGAAATGAGATAGTGACTGTTCGCTTTGAATAGACATTTTTTTGCTTCAAATTTTTACTAATAAAATATAAAATGTTTTAAATTTTTCATTTGCTACAAAACAATGTCTTACACATTATTCTTATAATGAAGCAGATTTTTACCTATAATCAATTTTGGTGTAATTTGCTATTTTAAAAAAAATACTTCCTTCACGTGGTCTAATTTCTAATAACATGTAAATGAAATATCGTTTATTTCAATCTCCTACAATGGGAAACATCGATTGTATAACTGTTTAATGAAGTTTTAGTGGATAAACGTAAACCAAGCAATGCTAGTGTAAAACCTGTGACCTACGTGGCTCATAGTAGTCATAGACCCTGACGGCAGCTGGCTGGGACTTGGCAACAAAATCAACTCGTCTGACTCTAAGGTTTAAACATACGGGCGTCGTGCCGATCTGGGAGGTAGACACATTTATACACAGATATTTTTGCTTAAAATTTAAACTAAAAAAAAACATAAAACGTTGTTGTTTTTCATCTGATACAACACAATTTCTTAAACGGTTACCCTTTGATGAAGCAGAATTTTACCTTTGACGGAAAAATATTAGTGTTAAAAAAATCTTAGAAGCTGAAAAAACGAAACTAAAATTACATAAGAAACCCTCTTTACGAGTAAACAAGTTAATTAAAAAGTCTAGTGACATTTAAGCGCAATTTCCTTATGTTATCTAAAAATAGCTCTGTCGTAGCGTAAATCAAGAGCAGGGTTAGTAAAACTATTGGTTAGTTATTAAAACGTTTTTTATAATTTTTTTTCAGTATTTTACATGTTTTATTTACAATAGAGTTACATGACTAAAAACCATTGCGCGCCTAGCTACCGAACGTGATGGCGCAGCCATTGAACGTGATGTCGCAGCTATTGAACGTGATGACGCGTGTGGTGTGGTTGGATAAAAATGCCTACTAATTCGCTCCAAATTTTAATTAATTCAAAAAAAAATTTTGTAACCGAACGAAAGGATATTTTTTAAAACTTTCTTCGGCAATATTGTTCTAAATTATGGCAGAAATCAATTGTTAAATGTTTCAAGTCGCTAAATGGTCTGGTTGCCGAGATATGGGCCAAAAACTGCATTTTTTCGAGGTTTTTTGGCTTTTCCGGGAAATCCATGAAAGAAACCCGGAATTTTTATGGCCTATGTTCATCCTCGTAACTTGCTTAACATAATTGCTTTGAAACTAGTCATCGATATTGCTTCGTTGAGGAGGAGATACGACTTAAAGCTGCGGACACACATCCATCCATCCATTCATTTATACATTCATACATCCAGAAAAAACGGGTTAATAAACGCAATTCTCCAGAATGGAAATTGCGCTAAAAAATTCTAAGTAAATTTACCTTGTCGAAAAAGAGGATAACCTCCTTGTTTCGTGTCTCGACTCTCTTTAGGTTGTCTAGCTGGGTCAAGTCGTCAAGGTCAGCTGCAAAGCCTGATGGGATACCAAACTCTTGGACGGCCATGGCACTTCCTGGGACCTTTCCTAACCATCTTGTTTAGTAGAAGTTTTTAGAAATTTTAGCTACAAGTTAGTTTGTTTTTAACATTTAATTTAATGGTACTCGTTACCCAAAGCTATAAAACCAAAGGAAGCTCCAAAGTCCAAACAGTAATCACATACAAACACAGTGATACGTTTATCAAGCAAACTTGTGCATTCACATATATACTTAATCGGATGGATCGCGCAACGAATAAATGTAGATATAATTATCAGAAGCGGGCCTGTGTGGAGCGGGTTTACATGTACGTAAAAATGTACGTTTTAATTTTTTTGGATATGACAGAATTTTTTTTTCGAATAGATATAAAGAAACATTCAGAACAGAAATTGGTAGAATTAGCATCATACTAATTACAAATCTATAAAAAATGTTTTAACATTTGAAAAGTCTATATTTGAACAAAGTTTTTAGGAGCTTAGCCACCATACACCCACATTTCTAACCAACCCTTTGATCCACATCGGGTATCACCAATGTACACACCTTGTGCAAGTTTCCACATCCAAGTATGTGAAATTCTCCTTTACGATTTCCAATTTTAGATCAAAGTGTTCTGGCTTTATATCTGACAGCACGTTGAAGCTTAGAGCAGCCTATTTGAACAGATTTAATAGAAATCTGAAAATTGTTGCTGGTTTTACGAAAATATTTTTTAATAGCAGTTAATAATAGTGTAGCATATTTTTATTCACAGAATCTCATTGTGTATATACGGGTTAATGGATCTGTTATAATAAAAGGATTAACTAGAGAGGAAATACCTGAACAAGTGCCATGCCTGAGCCAGTAGCAGTGATCACAACTTGAGCTGGTACTTTTGTATTCTATACATACATGAATAGTATATATATATATATATATATATATATATATATATATACATACATGAATAGTATATATATATATATATATATATATATATATATATATATATATAGACATATAGACACAGACAGACACACATGATTTTTAACTGACATACACACACTTACACAGAGAGAGAGAGAGAAAGAAAGAGAGAGAGAGGGATGAGAGACAGAGAGATAGTGTTTCCTTAACATAATTCATATCCCACACTACAGTATAACGTAAACAGTAGAACTATTCAACCAAATCTCGCACTGTAACCTCTCTAGACTGCAGCAGAAGTGAGTTGGTCTTGTCGACGTCAAAGGTGTAGGTAGTCTCAGAGTCCAGCTGGGTGGTGATGTGGACTTTTAATTTGTTGCTGTACGTCTGTTTGGCGTACTCGCTGAGAGCGTTCAGGGCGACGACGGAATCCTAGAGAGTGATTGTGTTGAGGGATGCTTGTTGTTTATGAAATTTTCAGCACTACATTTCAAATGTAATACGGCATCAATTAGGATGCAGAGTAAAATGCATAATTATAGTTAATTTTAAATTATAACCTAAAAATATAAAAAATAAAATTATACAATATTCCTTAAAGGTGGATGGCAGTTTCACTTAGAGTTTAACAAAGTTAATTCCTAGACAAACATGTGTGGACTTGAAGCCTCCGTTGGCGTTTCTCTGTTTGGTGATCCACTGCATGATGCTCTTGCCTGCAACCAAGTCGCCACGCTTTGTGTAGGTCAGCAAGACATAGGCGGTCATCTCAATGTCAACGGCCTTGGCGGGGTTGGGGCTCTGCCACGTGATGATCTTCGGTTGATCTGACTGGTGCCAGTACTTCATGCCGTCTGTTTATAGAAAGAAAATCTAGAGTTCGGATCCAGTTTAGAGACTGCAGGCGGAGTCGTTATTGCAGATCTGATAGGTACTTCAATCAAGTTATATAATGTGAACAGGGCTAGGTATAGTGCTACACAATTTCCCCTCATATCTACTTTATCTGTCCCATGGATTGAAAAGGTGCTGTGTATTTGGTATAGTAATACACCATGTTTAAAAGTGCGGCGAAGGTACAAACATGATTCGAGGTACAGAGCAGGACTTACCCTTCTGAGTTGACTCAGCCTCCAGTTTGTCTAGAACAGCTTGGGTCATGTTGCTGCCGGCCAGTTGGAAAGCGTAAGACGCCATGGCGAGAACGTAGAGATCATCCAACTTGGCAACTTCCTGTTCAGCGTAGGCCAGGGCTTTTTGTATTGCCTTATCAACATTCTTGGAAAAAAATGCGGTTTTAATATTAAGTTACTGTGTGTAATGTGGCTTTCTGGTTTAGACTTAATTTGAAAATAATGTGGGTTTGTGGTTAAGTTTTTGCTTTTAATAAAGATATTGCTGGAAATTATGGGATCAATAAGTTCTGGGACATTTCAGACTTTTATTCGTTCATTTCCTTGAAGATGTCAAAAAGCCCAAAAAACTGCTTTCTTCAAACATATTGTCAACGTTCAAGACATTAATCATTGATAAACAGCTCTCATGAACTTTGTCCATCCAAAAACAAACTACAAAGCATCATTTGTTTTATTCTGAAGGTTTCTGGTGTTGCCAGCTATCGAGCCTCGTCTGCCCGGGGTTCAAACTTGGAATGTTTCGGTTTTCCGGCCCGACCATTCCCCCCCCCCCCCCCCCACACACACTTCCAATAAAAAAAATTAACCCTTGACTTACCAGGTACTTCATGTCAGCACGGTTCTCTAGTAGTGAGAACAGTACGAACAGGGTTAGCTTGACCCCCGACCCTGCTTGGTCCTGTAGTTGATATATATATATATATATATATATATATATATATATATATATATATATATATATATATATATATATATATATATTCATATATATATATATATATACATATATATATATATATATATATATATAAACTAGGCATACTGCCTAGCTTCGCTTAGGTTTTCAAAAAAATTGAGAAATTGAATGATTAATTAATAGGTGATTGGCTGTTATGTTAAATGCTTAGGGCCTAAATATATGGAGTGGAATAATTTCATGTCACTGAAATATTGATGTAATATTCGCAAACTTATTACTCGCAAGGCTATTAGAACTGCAAGGGCTTTCTTAATAGTATCAATGAAATATTATATTAAATTATTTTCGCAATTAATTTTTACAATTTCAGTACAATGCAAAACTTAATTTATAACAAAAAATTTATTTAAAACACTGCTATACTTTATGATTTTTGTTTTTTTCCTTCAAAAGAGTATACAAAATATTTAAAAATTATTATATTAAAAAGTTACCTCCCCTGTTCATAGACCAAATGACCAAATCTCGCATAGTGAGAATTTAACTCGCGGTCATTGTTAGCCCTCTTTGAGGGCTTTGAGTCTGACCAACAGTTTTTCCATACGGCCTAGTAATCTATAGAGGTGTGTACAAAAAATTAGCGAGATATATAAAGAGCAAGTACCCTGAAATCTTTGTTGAAATTACCCTCTGTTTTTTCCCATAAAATACAAAGATTATATAGGGAAATACGACTGGTCAGTTTTGACCCATTTAACGAATTTTCCCGGACATGGCGAGTTTTTTGGATTTCTGGCCTGATCAGGTTGTGAAAAAAAATGGTTTTTTTTAACTTATAATAAATTTCAACATGTCATGTGTATGCATTAGTCAGTTTTGAATTTATTTTTTTTATATTTAGACCTAGTTTATTCCATATGTTTGCTGTAATGCTGCCTACCCTCTTGTATTAGCCGGTCAAAAGAAGATAAATATATATATATATATATTTTTATGTTTTTTTGTATTTGTATTATTTGTTTTAACTATATTTCCTTTTTATGCTATGTCAATCTTAAGTATATATTTTTAAAAAAAATAAATTAAGAGAAGTAATTACGTTTTAATTAATTTAGTACAAAAATATCAAAAGGAGCTTATAAGCACCCCTATTTAACCATTTAAAAAAAAGAAAATAAGTCATGGAAGTGTTTTGAACGTTTGCCTATCTTTCACACTACAGCTCAGGCATATATATTGTTTTACGCAACAGCATGTGTTAGCTACTTATAACATCACTACTGTAGTAGATCTGTTTGTTATTTACAAAAGCTTTTATCGTCAAGTCAAATATGCAAGAAGATTATTTTTTTAACTATAAAAAATTGTCGGCTATAGGCCCCTAAATAGCGTGCCCAACCCCCCCCCCCACCCGCATTGCAATGAGAGCTTTATCTGCTCACTTGGAAGTCTTGAGTTGGAATCCGACTTAAAGTTCATAGAAAGTCCACGATTCCACCCAGCTCTGATGGATACCTGATTCACGATGGGGAATCTAAAGGCCGTTGGACACTAGCCCTTTTTAAATGCCGTAGTTACAGAAGCATGTAAGCTCTACTTGTCGTATGGACCGTAAGTTTCGAAATTAAATTTCTTTATTAAAACTAAATTGTGCATTACACAACCTAAACCAAGGTTTTATTGAGCTGACCTGCTTGGTACCGCTAAGTACCACCCCAGGTTCAGGAAAGCTGCCGTCCGTATTTTGTTGCTCTATCATCCACAGGATGGCGTCGTTGAGGATGTTGTCATCCACAAAGATGTGTCGTTTGGCTTGGTGGAAGACGCGGGCTACAAAAGCTGTCAGCCTGTAATGATAAATAATTTTTTTTTTACTAATTGAAAAAAAAACAAAACAAAAACAAAAAACATTAAACAAAAAAGAAAACATTAAATTGCTTGTAATGATCATTGTAAAATATTGTTACATTATTTCCAGTATGTTACGTTATGTCTTCTTAGTTATAAAGTCCCTTGTGTGTGTTCTGTGTGTGTATTTTTGTCAGTGACTGCGCAAGAAAAAGGCCATGCTTGTTAGAGATTGACCTATACGGGAATGTTTCGCTGAAACTACTCCCGATTTTTTCCATTCTTAATAAAGTTCTTAAAAAACCTAATGACGAAGTGGTGGGTTCTAAGTACAGGTCAATTTTATTGCAGGTAATTCTACAACCATTAGACTTAAAAACATATATGGCTTTTGAACTTAATAAATAAAATCCTTTTCTTTATTAGCCTGTGTCAATACTTGTTTAAAAATATATTGCAATAAACCTAACACATACTTGAAACATTCACATGAACCTGTAAACCTACCACATACTTGAAACATTCACATGAACCTCTAAACCTACCACATGCTGCCAGACTTGTCACTGTTACCAAAAGCACTGAATGATCCGTCACTGTGTTTGTATCTCAGCACACCCTGGTAACCTGCGTGACGTCAACAATATAAAATATGTTATTTATGGTAACATACCTATCTAAAGCTTGGCAGTACTTAACAGAATATATATATATATATATATATATATATATATATATATATATATATATATATATATATATATATATATATATATATATGTCACATTATCATAGAGAAATAAATATTTTCTGTGTGGTCCTACCACTCTCCATGAAGGTGATGGCTTTGGTCTTGATGTCTCCATTCAGTTGGTTGACACAGTCCAGGTAATCTGTGACGTAGACATCCGCTGCCAGGCCAAGCATGGTTTGTTCCCCACATCCGGTTGGTATCTGGAGCAGGGAGCTTAGTCCAGCGATGGTTGGACCCATCAGGTCACCTGAGGGGAGTCACACTATATTACAATGTGGTACTACGGAATTTATAAGAAAAATTATTTAAGCCATGAATGCCTATACACAGCAAAGTAACCCCTCAGCACCTAGTTACGATTATCTGCCACTGCATGCAGAAAAACATGCACCACGACCCCCCCCCCCATATTCTTCTTCTTCTTCTTCGTTCTTAATTGAACGCCTCTGACTACTATTTCATACCTACATATGAGATTCTTATAACAAAAGCCATACATGCTCCTCTGAATGTCATTCATCATCATCATATGGGGGCAGATGAAGTAGATTTATCTGTTTCAGTGACTTCGGCATTTGAAGGGATTGTGAGTTCGGCATTAGGCCCAGCCGCTTTTATTTTCCATAACGTTAGTTTATACCCATCTGAGCTTGGTGGACTTAGGGACGTTCTACTGACTTGAACCCGGAGCACAACTACATATCGACTACTTAGGTTTTTTGTTGTGTATCTCTTGCCCTCCGCCACTATAGCTACTCTTCGAGCTTTCTAAATAAATCTGCGGACAACAAAAATTTATTTTACCATTCTACCCTACATAGCGACGCCTCTGACAGTCACTACCTACCGACAGCTGAAATTCTAACAAGTTCCGATCCCTTCACAACGTTGTAAGGCAGAGTGAGGTCAATGGTCTTTGAGAAAGTTTTTTTGCCGTCTGTCAGGTCGATGAGGACAGGGATGTTGTATTGGTTGGGGACTCCTTCAGCCTGCGGATAGATCAGCACAATGGGTTATGGCTCTAGGAAATTACCCTCTAGTCCGTTACCTTTTGGTGGATACCGAAGTCAAATCCCCCCTCTCTCTCTCTCTCTCTGCATTGTCAAATTACACCCACTGTAATATGGCACCCTAGTCTAGTAGACCATTGGATGATTGCGAATTGGAAAAACAAGCACATTACAAGTGACCTAAGTTGAGAGAGCCAGATGTTGCCCATGTATCAGGACCCCTCTCACCCCAAAGCTGATTGACCGGGCTTGGAATCAGTAGTGTCGCAGGAGCTGCCGAAAGGAATCTTGGTACGCCAAAGGGGCTCCACACCTGTTTGATTTAGGAGTTTTCAAACGTAGATGGGTTGCTGTTCTCCAGCTGACAAGCCTCATCTGCCCAAGGGTTCGAACTCGGGACTTTCGGGTTAACATCCACGTGCTTACCTGCAAGACTTCTCCGACCCTCACCCTGACGTAAAATATCTCTTAGTGGGACCATTGTTGATACTATTATATTTATCATTATTTAGGGTCATTTTTCGAGTTGTTTAATATCCGTATAAGAGACAAACCAGCACCAAGGACATAACTCCAACTTACCTCAACCAGGAGTTGTCTGCGCACAGCGTCGGCGGCCTTGGTGGATTGGGCCTTGACCTCCACGTCAATTCTACCAAGGTCGGCAGGGACGATGGGGAAATACACAGACTTGGCCTCACCAGCCTTGACCTTTTGAGGTAAATATGTTCAGATTGTTTGCAATAGAAAATTATTCTGAAATTTGTATATTGTATCTTTTAAGCTAAATAAATTTATAAAAAAAATTATTAACTGACAAGCATCTTCCTTCGCAAGTCTTGGCAAACTGTTCACTTTGTAATGTACAATAATAAAAAAAAAATAAAAACCAACTCACCATAACATCCTGTACAACATCAACCTGTTTCAGTTCCTGGTTTCCTGTGGCGTCGATAAAAATGTTGTGGAAACGTTTAGACGCGGCCAACGTCACCCGTACCTAAAATTATATGTAATTTCAAATTTAATTAGACAATATTGTGGTTCTAGGAGCGAAAACTTTTGTTTCAATATTCCAGGACATATTTCATTGAACAGATGTTTTTTTTTTGGTAGATATGTTATGTGTTTTTATTTCATTTTTTTTAAAGAAATAGTTGTAGTTGTAAGCTGTGAAAGAAAGGCGAGCTTGGATTGAAAGGGCGCGATCTATTTTGTTTTACTTGGAGGTTCTGAGAGTGAAAAGGTGGTGTAAATGGCGGTTGGTAAATTTAAGGCTGCTCCATTTACTTGGTGTATCATTAGAACAGTTTTAAAATTATTATCAAAACATTACTCTCTCATTTTATATATATATATATATATATATATATATATATATATATATATATATATATATATATATATATATATATATATATATATATATATATTATCTGTCATGTACATAACGTCTCTTACCACCTGCATATCGTCTGGCAGGTAGTTGAAGACGTTTGCTTGAAGTGCCAGCTGCTCACCACGAGTCACAGAGTAGGGGAGGTTGAGGCTGGCAAAAAACGGTCGGAAGACTTTCAGCTGAAGCAGATAACGACGTGAAATACATTTAGAATATTTTAAAATGTTGTTAAAACCTCTTTTTAAAAGAGATAGATTTATGATCAAACTTACCAGAGGATTAATTAAAAATTGTATAGTCTAATAAAACGTTCTAACAATGTGTAATCGTTTGAAGTCCGTGCTCGCTTTATTATTATTATTATTCTAGATTTGACAATTAACATGAAGTGTTAGGCTGGTCTTTCTATTTGATAAGAGTTTTGTCCCATTGTCCTTAAGTCGTCTTTCAAGTAAAGTCTCGCTTTCTTCTTCAGTTGGGAGGCTACCTCAGTGTATAGGTGTAGCTGGGAGGCTACCTCAGTGTAGGCCTATATTTGTAGCTGGGAGGCTACCTCAGTGTATAGGTGTAGCTTGGAGGCTAACTCAGTGTATAGTTGTAGCTGGGAGGCTACCTCAGTGTATAGGTGTAGCTGGGAGGCTACCTCAGTGTGTGAGGTAAAAAGGCTAGCTACCGCAGTGGTGTGAGGTGCATTGGCAGGCTACTTCAGTGTGTGAGGTGAATTGGCAGGCTACTTCAGTGTCTTAAATTAATTGGCAGGCTACTTCAGTGTGTGAGGTGAATTGGCAGGCTACTTCAGTGTGTGAGGTGAATTGGCAGGCTACTTCAGTGTCTTAAATTAATTGGCAGGCTACTTCAGTGTGTGAGGTGAATTGGCAGGCTACTTCAGTGTGTGAGGTGAATTGGCAGGCTACTTCAGTGTGTGAGGTGAATTGGCAGGCTACTTCAGAGTGTGAGGTGAATTGGCAGGCTACTTCAGTGTGTGAGGTGCATTGGCTTGCTACTTCAGTGTGTGAGGTGAATTGGCAGGCTACTTCAGTGTGTGAGGTGAATTGGCAGGCTACTTCAGTGTGTGAGGTGAATTGGCATGCTACTTCAGTGTGTGAGGTGAATTGGCAGGCTACTTCAGTGTGTGAGGTGAATTGGCAGGCAGTGTGTGAAGTGAACATGGTACGCTAGTTGGCATGTTGTGGTAATTCTTCTATTGTGCTTTAAATTGTTACGCTTGTTTTTATCGAAGAAATTCTCTAATTTGATTAACTGAATTTATTTTAAGACTCACGCGAGCTTGTGTTGGGGCCACGCCCAGTCCAGAGTTTGAGTTGATGGCGAAGGCACTGACCACCCATGACGTAATGGTGTCTGGTACAGTGGCTGTGATGGAGGCTGAGCCGTTCGCTCTATGTTAATGACAAGAAAAAAACATAAAATACATGTTAAAAATTTAAAATATTTTTTCTATCGTTGTAGATAATTAAATAAGTAATGTTCAAGAACGACTAAAGAGTTCTATAAGTATGTCCATTAGACTAATTAGTACATTAATAAGAAAATACGTTTGTAAAAATATTTGAACTGTACTATAAGAATGAAGGAAAGTAAAGGCGGCTGGGCAAAGTGCAGACCGCACCTTCCCTTCATTTACGGGGGTCAAATAACATAACAACCCTATTTCATTTGCCCAATGGATCGCTGGGTCTAAAAAGGGTTCTTTACTTTACTTTTTACCATTAGAATACTACTACAGCTAGGCGAAATACGAATAGGGAAAAGAACTAGTTGAACGACCCAGCAATGGGAATTTAAATATCATTATACTATACTTGATGTTAACTTACACAGACCTCTCATATTAGCAACTAGGGCAGCACGGAAAATGTACTTCGTAATTTAGGAGCAAAACATTTTTTCAATAACAATCAACAACCCAATCAGTAATCGAAAACAAATTTGTTATGTAGGAATTTCCTTTACCCGACGTAAGCATCTGTCCATAGCCAAGACTCGGGAGAGATCTCTCTGACTCGCGCAGGTTGTGGAAATTGTGGATCTGCGTTCTGCGCAGCAAACCATACAGCTTTATAAAGGATATGTAATGATACATGTGAATGGTGAATGGTGAATGGTGAATGGTGAATGGTGAATGGTGAATGGTGAATGGTGAATGGTGAATGGTGAATGGTGAATGGTGAATGGTGAATGGTGAATGGTGAATGGTGAATGGTGAATGGTGAATGGTGAATGGTGAATGGTGAATGGTGAATGGTGAATGGTGAATGGTGAATGGTGAATGGTGAATGGTGAATGGTGAATGGTGAATGGTGAATGGTGAATGGTGAATGGTGAATGGTGAATGGTGAATGGTGAATGGTGAATGGTGAATGGTGAATGGTGAATGGTGAATGGTGAATGGTGAATGGTGAATGGTGAATGGTGAATGGTGAATGGTGAATGGTGAATGGTGAATGGTGAATGGTGAATGGTGAATGGTGAATGGTGAATGGTGAATGGTGAATGGTGAATGGTGAATGGTGAATGGTGAATGGTGAATGGTGAATGGTGAATGGTGAATGGTGAATGGTGAATGGTGAATGGTGAATGGTGAATGGTGAATGGTGAATGGTGAATGGTGAATGGTGAATGGTGAATGGTGAATGGTGAATGGTGAATGGTGAATGGTGAATGGTGAATGGTGAATGGTGAATGGTGAATGGTGAATGGTGAATGGTGAATGGTGAATGGTGAATGGTGAATGGTGAATGGTGTAATAAGTGTAATAAGTGTAATAAGTGTAATAAGTGTAATAAGTGTAATAAGTGTAATAAGTGTAATAAGTGTAATAAGTGTAATAAGTGTAATAAGTGTAATAAGTGTAATAAGTGTAATAAGTGTAATAAGTGTAATAAGTGTAATAAGTGTAATAAGTGTAATAAGTGTAATAAGTGTAATAAGTGTAATAAGTGTAATAAGTGTAATAAGTGTAATAAGTGTAATAAGTGTAATAAGTGTAATAAGTGTAATAAGTGAAAGCGTAAGTGTAAGTGTAAGTGTGAGTGTGAGCGTGAGCGTGAGCGTGAGTGTGAGTGTGAGTGTGGGTGTGGGTGTGAATGTAAGTGTGAGTGTGAGTGTGAGTGTGAGTGTGGGTGTGTTTGATTGTGATTGTGATTGTGATTTTTAGTGTAATTTTAATTATGAATATGAATGGGAATCGGAAAGAGAAGTCGAACTCGAATAGGAAAAATCCCGAATGGAAGTTTATATACAGATATACATGTATAAATAAATAAATAAATAAATAAATATATATATATATATATATATATATATATATATATATATATATATATATATATATATATATATGTATATGTATATATATGTGTAAGTGTACCGGTATATTTTTGTTTTGGTAGATGTACGTTTGTGTACTATAATGTGTTTTTCATAAAAATAGCATCTTTCTGTCAGCACAATAAGTTAAATGCCAGTGTACACATTCGAGCACATGTTCGAGTACACATTCAAGTAAAACCTACCAAGAGGATTCTCCCAAATGTCATATTTGAATCTATCTTGGTACACGTTGGCATCAGTAAGAACGGTAACTCCTTCATCCTGTGTGACATTTCAAACAAACAGTTGTATTGGCGCTGAATATGTCTATATTTTTTAAGGTCCAATTTAAAAAAATAATGTTTTATATCTTAGACAGTCCCTGAGTCCACCCAACTCTGATGGGTACCTAACTCACGTTAGGGAAAGTAAAGGCGGCTGGGCATAGTGCTAAACACACTATCTCTGCATATGCCGAGGTCACAGAAACAAGTGAACTCTACTGCAATTGCCCCATAGACCGTCAGGTTTGAAAGGGAAACTTTACTTTTTACTTTAATATATATCACTATCGAGGTTATTCAAGTTTGTTTTGACATTGTTTTTCAGCTTTTCAATAAAGTCTGACAAACTCTCACCTCTAGTCGTTCCCCTCCTGAGCTGGTCCTACAAAATCTCAACGTGACGTCCGGTTTGTAGCTCATGATCTCTGTGTGAACCTGAATAACAAGTATATTTTAACAACCGTGAAATTTAGCTTCAGCGATAATTGGCTATTCTTGTTCTTCTTCGTTTTTATTTCTAGTGTCGGAGGCGATTTCCTCCAACACAATTAAGTATTATTTTAATATGCTTTTCTTTTTTTCCTTTATGTTTCCACAACCTTTGTCCAACCAAGAACAAACTACAAGGCAGCAGTTGATTAATTTTAGATACGTATCTGTCCTCAGCCATCGATCCTCATCTGGCCGGTGGTTGGAAATTGGGACTCTTCGGTTTAGCAACCATGAGCTTAACCGACCCGAGCACGCCGAGGTCCTAATCGGCTATTAATTCCTAATTTCCTGTTCTTGAATACAGTATGAGATATGGGTAGGGCTTTCAATCAACCAAGTCTAAACACAAAAACAGCAACAACCCAACGTCATACTACCACGGCTAAGCCGCTTAGGCTTAAGCAGAAATGCCCGTT